CCTGGCCCAACTTTATTCTTAATCTGTCTCCGCTGTTTTCTTTTAATCTCCCATCAACCCTACTCGAGAGCGTTACAGCTGCTCAGGCTGCAGCACTGATAGTCTGTCCAATAGCTGCCCTGGCCTTTTTTTGGCAGATGATTATGAACTTTTCCACCATCTCTTCCCATTGTTGTTGTTGTTAAGCGCCTTTGAGTCGGTTCTGACCCATAGCAAGCCTGTATAGGGTTTCCAAGGAACAGCTGATGAGCTTGAACCACCGACCTTGCAGTGCAAAGGGCTTTGCAGTCTGGCGCATTAAGTAACCCACAGGGCCACACCAGGACTCATCTCTTCCCATAGATGTAGTCAGTTGATTCATATGTATTCCACCTGTATTGTTGCTATTGTTAAGTGCCATCAAGTCAATTCTGTCTCATAGCAACCCTATAGAGGTTTTTCCAGGCTATAAATCTCTGTGGAAGTTGAAAGCCTCATCTTTCTTCCATGAAGTGGCTAGTGTTGCCTTTTATGTTGTTTAAAAATGGTATTTGCAATGAATGTCATTGGTCTTACAAAATTCTATCACTTGATCTCCAAGATTACTGCTATCACTAAGACTGTATTTTCCAGCTCTTCTTCTTTGTTTCCAACTTTTGCATTACAATCACCAGTAATTATCAATGTCTTTTGATAGCATGTTTGATCAATTTCAGATTGAAGAAACTGACAGAATTCTTCAATTTCATCATCCCTGGCTTTAGTAGTTGGTGCATATATTTGAATACTAGTATTAACTAGTTGTCCTTGTAGGTGTATGGATATTATCCTATCATAGACAGTGTTATACTTCAAGATAGATCTTTAAATGTTCTTTTTCACAATTAATGTGATGCAATTCCTGTTGAAATTGTCATTCCTGGCATAATAAACCATATGACTGTTAGATTTAAAATGGTCAATACCAATCCATTTCATGCCTAGGATATCAATCTTTATGCACTCCATTTCATTTTGACAACTTCCAATTTTCCTAGATTCATGGTTCATACAATCCATGTTCCTATTGGATGTGTGCAGCTGTTGCTCCTCATTTTGAGTTGTGCCCCATTAGCAAATAAAGGTCCCGAAAGCTTTACTCCATTCATGTCATTATGCTAAACTCTACTTTGAGGAGGCAGATCTTCCCAAGTTATATTTTGAGTGCTTTCCAACCTGAGGGGCTCATTTTCCAGAACCACATCTGACAGTGTTCTGCTGCTATTCACAAGGTTTTCAGTGGTAAAACATTCAGAAATAGTCTGCCTTTAATTCTTCCTAGTCTCTCTTAGTCTGGAAACTCCACTGAAGCCTGTCAACCATGGATGCCCCTGCTGGTACATAAAATACAGGTGGCATAGCTTTTGGCATCACAGCAACATGCAAGCCACCACAGAATGACATGTAAATGTTAGAGCATTTACTATAGTGGTCCCATTTTCTTAGATTCCTCTCAATGTCTTCATTTGCTTCACAAGATTTAAGAGTACATGGTTGCTATGCATCCACCAACTCAACGGCACTTAACAAAAACACTTGGATTCCTGGTATGGAGCTGTAGGATAAGCACTGGAATGCTAATTGAAAGGTGAGTGTTTCAAACCCACCAGCTGCTCCTTGGATACCCAATACAGTGTCACTATGATTTGGAACCAAACCAATGGCACTTAATAACAACAACAACAGTATCTAGTATGATAACCATCAAAGAATATTGCTTTTTATGTGTAAACATATTCTTGACTTTTTATAAAAATAATATCATATATTTGTCCTTTTGTGATTGATTTGTTTTACTCTTATAGCTTGAATTGTGTCTCCCCAAAACATGTGTCAATTTGGCTGTGTCATGATTCTCAGTAGTTTGGAAGTTATGCAATGATGTAATGTAGCAGTTATGTGTCGATGCCCCATGATGTGATCTAATGTAATAAACCAATGAAAAGGATTAAGAGTGGGCTGCAGTACCTTTCTACCACTTACTCATCTGTCAATTTGCTGTACTGTGGTGGCTTGCATGTTGCTATGATGCTGGAAGCTATGCCATTGGTATTTTAAATGCCAGTAGGGTTGTCCAGGGTAGACACATTTCAGTTGAGGTTCAAGACTAAGACGGACTAGGAAGGAGAGGTGGACTACGTCTGAGTTAGCCATTATAAAACCTTATGAATAGCAGTGGAACACTGTCAAATAGCACCAGAATACTAAATATTCAAACATTATGAATAGCGCCAAAATATTGTCAGAGATAGTCCCAGAAGATGAGCCCATCAGGTTAGAAGGTACTCAAAATACAGTATGGGAAGAGCTGCCTCCTCAAAGTAGGACTGACCGTGATGACGGGAATGGAGTAATAAACAAATAATACATGAGCCAAATTCTATTTAGGCTGTAGAAAGGATTGTTTGAACTTCTTGATTAATCTCATCTATTCTCCATCATTCCTACCCCTGCCCACACAACAACACACAGACAAAACCACCAGGCTTAGCACTAGGAGCATTTACATTCAAAACTTTTCCTATATGACTCCTTTTGAGAAGTAAACCTCTAGTTGTTTTGAGCCTAAGGTATTTTAAAAGCAACCTTGGCTACCTAAAATGAGGGGGCAATAAAGGCACGAAGTGACTGGCTTATAAGGTTTCAAGAGGGAGTTTA